GAGAATTTTGCAGATTTTTGACTCGTGATCTGAAACCGGAAGAAGACTGAATGATGAAATAAACATGTAGGACAGTGCAGAGGACGCATGGAAGAAACTGAACCAAGGAGCTCTAGAACTAGGCCTGGGTAACACTGTGTTGAGTTGCGCTTTTGAGTTGTTGCCGTTCTTTGAGTAAATCAGGTTTAACTCATTGGTTAATGAGTTATAACTCATGACCGGTGGCGGAATTTTAGCATCTAATCAATAAAAAGCTATCAACATATTGCTTTTGCGCATACGATTGCTTGAAACTTGGCCCAAAACGGAAAAATCCAGAGGTTTTGAAGAAACTTAAAAAAATTTCAGATTGATGATGACGACGAGTTTTCCAAATATTGATTAAATGCTTTTTCTTGCTCTGGTCGTTTTTTGAGAAAACCTAATTGCTGTCGAAAAGAAACAAGATAACTTTGTTTCGATTTTGTCCCAAAGTCAAGAGTAAAACGGGTATTCGAAAAAGACGATAAAGAAGACCAAACTGTAAAGACGACGAGTTTTATTCTAAAATCCATCTTTTAAATTTTTGGCATAAAAGACCCTCAGTTTGCCAGTATTTTACAGTAAAACGTTAAGAAAAAACGCGTTGTTCTGTTTAGATAGAGTTTTCTTTAGAAAAATTGTCCTAAAAGTGAAGAATCCGCAATTTAAATAAACCAAATTATTCACAGCGACAAAAGTGACGAGTTTCCTGAATAATTGATTATAAACTCTCACTTGTTCCGTTCGAGGAAATATTTTTAGGAAAAATTACAGGAAAAATTATTAGGGTCCAAAATTCGAAGCTGCAAAAGGGTCCAGAAAAAAACGTACAAAGCTGTTCAGGAGCAGAGTGTTCGAATTAAATTTATTTTATAATTTTCACAGAAATTACTATTTATTAATTACTACTAATTAAGAAAGAAGAAGAATTGCTTATTAGAAACTTTGCTTAAACTGGAACGACCTGAAATTTTAAAGAAACTTGAAAAATCTTCAGAGCAATGAGGGTGGCGAATTTTCCAAGTAATTTTTTTTTGGAAATTTTTGTTCTCTAACCGTTTTTCAAGATAATCCTAATCAATTTCGGTAAAAAACTGAATAAAATTTCGGTTTTTGAGCCAAATTCGAAGCTGAAAAGAGTTTTCTAAAGGTGCCCTGCAAACCGATGAATGGGACGAATTTTCTAGCAAAATTAATTTTGTCATTTTTGCCTGCAAAGACCTCATTGTTGTCAGAAAAGTAGAAAATTATGTATTTTTGTGTTTTTGATTTAAAACTTTTAGTTTTGTGATCGGGTTTTCCGAAAACCTTAATAGTTCTCGAAAAAAATTTTTTTGCGAAAAATACCTTAAGACTGTCAGTATTTTTAAGTGAATCTTTAGAAAATTGAGAGTTTAGAAAATAGAGTAGCTTTGCTAAAACTGGAAAATTTTAAAATTGTGCAGAAATGTTAAAAACATTATTGATAAATGGCCCTTAAAATAAACCTAAAAACAAGAAAAAAAGTAATCAACATTTTCACAGCAACGGAACTGAGTTACTGCGCCGGTGCATTGGGTTGGCGCACCAAGCCATTTGCGCGGCACTGCGCCAACTCCTAAAAATTCATTGAGTTACCCAGACCTAATTAGAACCAGACTCCTGGACCAGACGAAAACATTTTCCTAGTGGATGGGAAGAGGAGGACCTATTGAATGGTCTCTAGGATCGCCAGACTTAACTCCGATAGAAATTCGTCTATCTGTTTGGAATCACCCCATATTCAGGCAATAATAATATAAAAGAAGGAGCTGCTTTATCGCCCGACGAAATCCGAAATGTTATCAGCCCTATTTAGATTAGAATGATATAACTACGATTTGAATATATGCATAAAAGATGAAAGAAGGGCGTTCGGGAATAGGGTTAGCGTAAAGGAGATAAAAGCAATTTTCCTTTTTAAAAATATTACTTGGCAAATTGATTTAGTACGGTTTTTCCATGCCAATTTACGGGTGCCGGAATTGGATGGGGAAATTATCGGGCGGCTTTGTTTCTTGTCGCAATTCCGCGAATAATAATGCAAGTATTTGCGTGGGGCGCTTTGGCCCCCAAAACCCATACAGGCCAAGTGCAGTTCGTGAATCTTTTAAGGCCATCCGTCTCCCGCATAGATTTCCCTCCACTCTTACAGTCTGTTTGTGGTCATTCCAGATTTCTCCAGGGAGAAGTTTCTCGCGGTAACAGTTTCCTCGGACATGATCTAGCCGAATAAAAGTGAATTCAAATGGCCAGTTTCCTGACCACAACCAACCACCATATATTTCAACCTACTCCACTATTCCCGTCTATTGGCAGCTATGCGGGAACGTGACTCGACTTCTTATGGTGAGCTGCTTTAAAACTTAAAATGGTTAGTGCCATGCTGGGTTTTTAATAGATTTTTCTCGGCCGAACAGCCGATTCATCACGATCGAACTGGTTTAAAAATCATTGGCAGGCAAAGGCAGCTAATGCGGTTCTCTTGGGAGGCGCCAGCGGCACAAATCTCACTTAGCCGGCCCTGGATTAACAATGATAGATCGCGCATCAAGCTGAGGGGCGACAAATACACCAAAGACTCGCTTCTCTCTCAATAATTTAGGGCTTCGTTAATGCAGCTCCCGATGGGGCTTGTTTTCCATCTTATTATTCCACATTTCCGGGGGCCAAATTTACCAGTAAGATTCAACCTTTGCACGACCCCCAATCGATTACTAATTCACTTGACTGGTCTTTTTCACCTCAAACATTTTTAGGCCGCAGAGTCGGCCACTGTGCGAATCCGATGAATTTTTGGTGGAAGCGAGATCCTGCCTGACGTTTCGCCAGCACGAGCGGCTTACATCTTCAGAGGTATTCTGGATGTCTTCCACTAACCTATGTAAACTCAACCTCGAGACCCAGAAGCCTATCGCTGTTGGTTTTTTCCTAATTTAGAAAGCACACATTTTCTGAAAGTTAATTTTTTAAAATTTCTCAACGTTTGTTTGAAACTCGATTAAATCTTGAACATTTCAGTTTGTTGTCAAGTTGCACAGTTCAATCTCTTCTGGTTTAGAGAATACGAATTTTGAAATGTACCATGTACAAAAAATCCTCAATTTTTTTTGTGAACTAATTGAAACTTTGAAAATATTGAGATCCAGGCTTCGTAAATGTGGCTGGAAATTTCACACTTTCTTTTCCCAATCATCAATGTGTTCCCCGCCTAAGTTAAATTTTGACAAGTTTGACAGCCAGATCTGTCAAATATAAGTGCAACATTTCAAGTGAATCTCTTCTGGTTTAGATGTTAGGAATTTTTTAATGAAGAAGTGCACCACATAAGCATATCATCATCAAATTCAAAATTTCTATTTATGAACTACGTGAACTTTTGACAGTTTGAACGTATATGCCAGTATAATATTTATACAGAATTGTACCGTTTAATCCCTTCTAGTTGAGAAGCTACACATTTTTAAATGCAGAAATGCACCATTGAGAATAATGACATTTTCTCAAAATCTGTTTTTGAAAATTTCCCCCTCCTCCATGTGTGCCACCTCTACTAAGTGAAACTTTGACAGGTTTGACAGCGAGATATGTCAAATACATATACAATATTCCGCTGTTGTATCTTTTCTGGCGCGGAAGTTACGAATTTTTCAATGAAGAATTGCACGATTGAAAAAAGCATATTTTGGCAAAATCCGTTTTTCGAAAATATGTAAATCCGGATTGCGCTTTCGAAATTAAATTATTTTTTTTCCGGTTTGAAGCAAATATCTTTCAAATGTAGGTGCAAATTTTCCTGATTGAAGCTTTTCGGGTTTAGAAGTTCCGAATTTTTCAATGAAGCACAATTGACACTAAGCACATTTTTTTGAACTTCTATTTTGTTTAATGTCTAAATCCTCAACAAATTTTCAGAAGAAGATGAAATTTTAACCATATTGATGCAAAGACCTGTCAAATATATGTGAAAATTTTCACTGCTCAATCTGTTCGGGTTTACAAGTTACGAATTTTTCAATAAAAAAGTGCAAGATTGAGAATAAGCGCATTTTTCCCAAACCCATTTTCCAAAATGTCCAAATCTTCAACAGATTTTCAAAACACGCTGAAAATTTCAGTATGTTGACGCAAAGACCTTCCAAATAGATGTCGAAATTTTCACAGCTAATTGTTTTCGGATTTAAAAGGTTCGAATTTTTCAGTGATGATCAAGAAATTCAGGATTGAGTATAAGCGCATTTTTCCCAAACTCATTTTCAAAATGTCTAAATTCCCAACGTGCATTCGAAAGAAGATGAAATTTTCACTGTTTTGATCCAAAAGATCTTCCAAAAATCGCTGGCTTAGGAAATACAAATTTACCAATGAAAAAATTACATTCAATTGAGAATAAGCCCATTTTTCCAAAATGGATTTCTGAAAATGTTTCAATCCTCAATCTGTAATCGAATCAATTTGAAATTTTGCAGGGTTTGATTCAAATGTCTTTCAAATATATCTGCAAAATTTCACTATTTTTTCGTTCCTGGTTTAGAAGTTTCTAGATGATGATATGGCACAATTGAAAATAAGCACATTTTCGGAAGGTCCATTTTTTAAATTTTAAATCCTGAATTTCGTCTGCAAACTTTTGGAAATTTTGGCAGTTTTCACGCCCAGATTCATCAAATACTTCTACCAACTTGTACAGTTGAATCTCTTTGGTTTAGAAGCTACGGATTTTTAAATGAAGAGGAGCCCGATTGTGGATAGTCACGTTTCCTCAAAATCAATTTTGGAAAATTTCGCTGCGTTTTCTAAGTTCGCCGAAATTGTACCAGTTTCCACAAAATTGATTGGATGATTGATCACATTCATGCAAAAATAAGCTAGATATGGTCGTTTGAAGACGGGCACCGCAAAAGAAGGCAACACGCTTGCCAGATTCCTAACACTTTCAAACAGACTCCTTTCATCATTTGTTCGATTTCAATTTTATTTTCACCTTTGCAGCTTCTATACAATGTGGGCACAGAAACTCTGGATCCTCTGGACGGCTACAAATCGAATTCTTCCCTCATAGATCAATCCGCCCTGCTTAAACAGATGTTAATCAATGTGAGCTAATAGTTACAAAGCCCAGATACCACATCGCGATGTCAGGGCGGGCTGTGCAAACAAGTAAACAGGATTACATGACGAAATATATGTGCACAATGACCCCATTTCCAGACACTCAATAATCGATAGTGTTCACCTTCTAGACAATTCCGTGTTCCAGACTGTGAACAATACAACCGAACCATTTGAGTGAAATCTGGATAACTGAATTGGCAGGGTCTGGGACAGGTCTGGAAACTATCGTGTTAAGAAAGAGAAAAGTTAAAATAAGGGAATTTTTTACTGATTTTACAAACAGGTCTTCAAAACATGCAGATAAAATTTCGATCTTGAGTACCAGCTAGTTCTGTAGCTGTTAACCAATTTTTAAATCCAGAAGTGCACTATTGAAAGCAGGAACATTTTCCAAAAAAAAAATAATTTTCAACACCTTTTCCAAAGTATGTGAAATGTTGACAGTTTTAACGTACAGATGTGTCAAATTTCTTCATAAAATTTTACCCAAGAATCTTCGCTCGTTTACAACCTAATAATTTTTTATTGCAGCAATGAACGATTGAGAGCTGACACATTTTCCTAAATTCGTGTTTGAAAATTTCCAAATTCTCAATGTGATTTACTAATTAACAAAAGTTTTGACAGTTCTCGCGTACCGATCTGTCAAATATACTCACAAAATTTCGTCTATTCAGGCTTAACTGGTTTAGAAGCTACGAATTTGTAATTCCGAAAATGCACGATTGAAAAAGGCACATTTTCCAAAAAGTTCGATTTTAGAAATTTCCATAATCTTCAATTCGTTTTCCAAAGTAAGTGAAATTTTGACCGTTGTTACGTGCAGATCTGTTAAATATACCCACAAAATTTCACCTTTGAAACTTAACTGGTTTAGAAGCTAATCATTTTTAATTGCAGAAATGCACGATTGAAAGCAAGCACATTGCCTATAAAGTTAGTTTTGAAAAGTTTTCAAATCTTTAATGCGTTTTCCAAGTTACTCGAAATTTTGACAGTTCTCACATACAGATCGAAAGCTATGAGTTTGTAAATGCAGGAATGCACCATAGAGAGATGGCAAATTTTTCCAAAATGCGTTTTCGAAAATTTCTAAATCCTCAATATGCACTCCCAACTAAGTGTAAATTTGACTTATTTTTCACACCGATCTTTAAAGCATGGGGGCAAAATTTTGTTCTTAAATACCTGCTAGTTTAAAAGCCACGAATTTTTAAATCCAGAAATGTACAAATAAAAACAGGCGCATTTTCCAAAAAAAATTTCAACGCCTTTTCTAAAGTAAGTAAAATTTTGATAGTTTTAACGTATAGATCGGTCAAATATCCTCACAAAATTTCGCTCGTAGATATTGCCTAGTTTAGAACATACGAATTTTTAAATGCCGAAATGCACAATTGGGAGCGGACACATTTTCCTAAATTCGTGTTTAAAAATTTCCAAATTCTCAATGTGATTTCTAAATTAACTCAGATTTTGAGAGTTCTCGTGTACGGGTCTGCGAAATAAACCCACAAAATTTCGCCATTGCAACTTAACTGGTTTAGAAGCTACGAATTTTTAATTGCAGAAATGCACGATTGAAATCAGGCACATTGTCCAAAAAGTTAGTTTTGAAAATTTTTCAAATCTTCAATGCTTCCTCCAACTTAAGTGAAATTTTTACAATTCTCACATACGGATCTATCAAAAGTATCCACAAAATTGCGCAGTTTAATCTCTCCTGGTGTAGAAGATATGAATTTTTAAATGCAGGAATGCACTGGAGAGATGGCAAACTTTCCCAAAATGCGTTTTTGAAAATTTCCACATTCTCAATTTTTATTCTAAACGAAGTGAAATTTTCACTGATTTGACAAGCAGGTCTTTAAAACATGGGTACCAAATTTCGCTCTTGAATACTTGCTAGTTGAAAACCTACGAATTTTCAAACCCAGAAGTGCACGATTGAAAACAGGCCCATTTTCCAAAAATATTTAAAATTTTCAACACTTTTTCCAAAGTAAGTGAAATTTTGGCACTTATAACATACAAATCGGTCAAACGTCTTCACAATATTTCATCCAAGAATCTTCCCTAGATTAGAACCTAAGAATTTTTAATTGCAGAAATGCACGATTGAAAGCAGGCACATTTTCCGAAAAGTTCGTTTTAAAAATTTCCAAATCTTCAATTCGTTTTGCGAATTAAGTAAAATTTTGACAGTTCTTACGTAAATATCTGTCAAATATACCCACAAAATTTCGCGTTTGAATCTCCGCTGGGTTGGAATCTAAAAATTTTAAAATGCAAAAATGCACCATTTTGTAGCAGGCACATTTTCTCAAAATTGGTATTTGAAAATTTTCAACTCCTCAATATTTGTTCCAGTGTAAGTAAAATTTTTACTGATTTTACAAATAGGTCTGGAAACTATCGTGTTAAGAAAGAGAAAAGTTAAATTAACTGGTAGGTTCTAGTTAGTTATTAGGTTCCAGTGGCGTCGAATTCAAGAGGTTTAGGTCGACGGAAAGAAGGTGGGAAGTTTTTATGGGAAAGCTGGAAGCCACTGACCGGTCACAAAATACCGAAACCTATCTCTAAACCGATCGCTCACGCCAAGGGGAAGTAACGAACAAACTATAAGCTTTATAGTTGGCGAAGTTTTTGTATTAAGCGCGCCGACATGCAAACATGGAAAGACTTTTTTCTTCCATTTGCCGCGAAAGATAAAAATGCGCACCAACGGCTCGATATGCAAATTCTTAATGGCCATGAAGAGAGTTTCACTGGATTCAGCGGAAGAAGTCAGAAAGGCAACAGTTCACCCAGTGGAAAAACTGAAGTTTTGAGGAGCACAATTCCAAAACCAACCCCCAAACTTCCTTTGAATGTCTCCGACCCTGTAATTTGTTTAACTGTTTGCACACACACACACACAAACACTAAACTCCCATCGAGGCTCGACTATATCAAATAGATTTGGTAAGTCGGGCTTACTAAATCATTCGCCCATCTCCAGGGGATCTGGATAGCGACTAAGACACACACACAAAGAGCAAAGTTCGTGTGCTTAATGTCTCTTAGGTAATGTATCCGGAGTTATTTAACTGGCTCTTTATCAACGATAGTAAATGAAACAAGTGATACTTCGGGGAGTTTGCGGTCACGTCTTCGGCCGCTTCGGCACATTAACAGGGATTACTGCCGTGATGGAACTTGCTTAATTACGGGAACCACATTCGCGAGAGCCCCTAAGAGACAGGCTTTGATAGGCCGAATAGAGCCGGCGCCTCTTTTCTAATTAGTTTTTAGGGGCTTTTAAACTATCCCGCACTAAAATCATCAACTTGCTAATGTGGTGCTCGACAATTTTACGCTGGTAAGCACGTCCAAACTATGGATTTAACACGAACTTGACCCGAATAATATTCATCTATCTGGCAGAAGAGAGCAATTTGCAGTTGAGTTGAGTCGAGGCGAAGTTTTTTCGGGTTTAAACTCTTGTGATTGTCTTTGGAATGTTTCCAGGAATTCTGAAGAACCTTCGGTCTTTGCATGAATGTAGACAAGAAATGTGGAAGTTAAGAAGATTTTGAACAATGAACTGCAATTATAATTCTTCAATTCGGAAATGAAGAAGTTTAGAAGCAATCGCGCTTTGAAAGTTGAAGATTTTGTCAACAAAACTTTGTTCTTTTGTCTTCAACTTTGAGCTTCAAGCGAGTCAAATGTTGGCTAAAAACGACCTTCGTACGCCTCTGAAATTGTATTTTTTCGCACCCTCAGCTAAGAGCGGTGGCGACAGATGCTAGCGAATAAAATAAAAAATGAAGCTCCCGATGAGCCAGTTTAGTCAATGTGTCGGATTGGGGCTGTTTTACATGCTTAATTCGCCGCTTATTTCCCCATCATTATTGGGGTGATGAGTCAAAAAATGTGTGCACACTTTTACTAACTTTCATTTAGTTTGGATGGCATATTGAGCTTTGAGAAATTTTTGAATGTTAACTTTGCAAAAATTTAGTGCATTTTTGCACTGAAAAATTTGTAGTAGTTTAAAAAATAGCTGGAGAAATTAGGAGTCTTCGAAAACACGCCACAAGGGCATTTAAAAATTTGTAGCATCTAAAACAATAGCGGTTCAATGGTAGAATTTTGTCCAAAATTCTATTCCTGACGAAATACAACCGCAAAATTTGGTCAGTATATCTGGCGAAGCTGTGCCGTTAAAAGTTGCAAAGTTTCAGTTAATTTGGAAAGCAAATTGAGGATTTAAAAATTTTGAGAAACGAATTTTCTGGAAAATGTTCCGCTCACAATCATGCATTTCGGCAATTCAAAATTTTTAAGTTCTAAAGTAGCAAAGATTCAAGGGCGAAATTTTGTGAGAATATTTGACAGATCTGTACGTTACAACTGTCAAAATTTGATTTACTTTGAAAGCCGCATTGAACATTTTGGAAATTTTGAAAAACTAACTTTTTGGAAAATGTGCCTGTTTTTAATCGTGCGTGCACTCCTGGATTAAAAAATTCGTAGATTTTAAACTAGCAGGTATTGAAGAGCGAAATTTTGTCCGCATGTTTTAAAGACCTGTTTGTTAAATCAGTGAAAATTTCTCTTACTTTGGAACAAATATTGAGGAGTTGGAAATGTTCCAAAACGAATTTTGGGAAAATGTGCCTGCTACAAAATCGTGCATTTCTGCACTTAAAAATGCTTAGATTCTAAAGCAGTGGCGATTCAAACACAAAATTTGGTGGGTATATTTGACAGATCTTTACGTACGAACTGTCAAAATTTCACTTAAGTGGAAAAATGCATTGAAAATTTGGACATTTTTAAAAACTAACTCTTTAGAAATTGTGCCTGCTTTCACTCGTGCATAAATTTCAACGGCGAAATTGTGTGGGTATATTTAACAGATCTGGACGCGAGAACTGTCAAAATTTTAATTAATTTGGAAATCACATTATGGATCTCAAAATTTTCAAACACGAATTTAGGAAAATGTGTCCGCTCTCAAACGTTCATTTCTACAATTAAAACTTTTTAAGTTCGAAACTAGCTAAAATTTAAGGGTAAAATTTTGTGGAGATATTTGAAAGATCTGTACGTTAAAAGCGCCAAATTTCATTTACTTTGGAAAAGGTGTTGAAATTTTTTTTTTTTTTTAATTTACACTTAGTTGGGAGTGCTAATTGAGGATTTGGAAATTTTTAAAAACGCATTTTGAAAAAATCTCTCTATAGTCTATTCCTGCATTTACAAACTCATAGCTTCTAACCCAGCAGAGATTCCACTGCTAAATTTTGTGGGTACTTTTGATGGATCTGTATGTTTGAACTGTTCAAATTGCACTTAAATTGGCAAACGCATTGAAGATTTAGAAATTTTTAAAAACGAATTGTTTTGAAAATGTGCCTCTTTTAAAAATTCGT